ATCTGCCAGGCCCATCTGGCATTCATAGTTTCTGTTGAGAAGTCAGGTGTGATTCTGAAAGGTTTTCCTTTATATGTTACTTGGTCTTTTTCCCTTGCAGCTTTTAAAATTTTTTCTTTGCTCTGTACATTTAGTGTTTTGCTTATTATGTGACATGAGGATTTTCTTTTCTAGTTTAATCTATTTGGTGTTCTGTAGGCTTCTTGCATGTTTATAGGCATCTCTTTCTTTAGGTTGGAGAAATTTTCTTCTATGATTTTGTTGAAAATATTTTCTGGGCTTTGAAGCTTGGTCTCTTATCTTTCTTCTATTCCTATTATTCTTAGATTTCATCTTTTTCTAGTACCCTTGATTTCTTGGATGTTTTTGGTCAGGAGTTTTTTTTGTTTGTTTGTTTGTTTGTTTTTAGATTTAACATTTTCTTTGACAAATATATGAATTTCAATTGTATCTTTCACACCTGAGATTCTCATCTCCATCTCTTGTATTCTGTTGGTAATGCTCTGTAGTTCCTGTTTTCTTCCCTAAATTTCCCATCTCCAGGATTTCCTCAGTTTGTGTTTTCTTTATTGTTTCTATTTTCATTTTTAGGTCTTAAATCATTTTATTTATTTTCTTCACCTGTTTGTATTTTCCTGTGTTTATTTAAGTGATTTATTCATTTCCTCTTTAAAGCCCTCTACCTGTTTGCTTTTATTTTCCTGTACTTCTTTAAAAGATTTATTTGTTTCCTCTTTAAATGCCTCAGTCATCTTCAAAAGCATATACTTACGGTCATTTTCTTGTGTTTCAGTTGTGTTAGGGTATCCAGGGCTGCTTGCAGTGGGATAACTGAGTTCTAGTTATTACCCTGGATTTTGTTGATTGTGTTCTTATGTTGGCCTTTGGCCTTCTGTTTGTCTGTGGTGTTGGCTGGCTGTTCCCTTCTGGATTTCTAAAGGGTGCAGGAAGAGCCCTGAGGAGGCTGGGTGTTCCTGGAACAACCCTCCTCGGGATTATGGAGGTAGTTGCGGACTAGCGGCTAGATCTTAGGAAATAGCCTGAAGTTCTCCTCAGGTGGCTGTGTCCCGATTAGACACACAGGCAGTGGGGGTGTATAGCCTTAATGCACTAGAGGAGAAGCAGGTCTCCTTAGGAACCCAGGAGCTTTCGTTTCACCAGGGAACTCCTGGAGCCAGCAGCCCTGCCACTCACTTGCTCGCTCTGTGATTTCTGAGCTCAAGCTGCCCTGAAACTGTGTGGGCTGGGTGCCACTACTTTGAAGTGAGATCCCGTATGCTCCTGAGGTCTGGTCAGTCTCCTCAGGTAGGTAGGTAGAGCCATGGACCCAAAGCTGGGACTGTTTCCCTGCTTCCAGGAGTTGGATAGTCAGAGGCTGTAATCGTGTGCCCTTGGAACCTGGGAGCTTTCTTCAGGATGGTGGGAATAGCCTAGCCAGTTGGATAGAGGCTGGAACCGCTTGTTCCCAACACCTGTGGGTTCTTCTCTCACCTGGAAAACACAGACACTGGCGTTTCGGAGTCCACAGCACGGTCTCTTCACTCGGCTCTGCCTGCAGTCACCAGGGTCCTGCCACTCAGAAACTGTGCGAGCTCAGCGATAAATGTCTATAAATCTATTTGTCTTCTATCTAAACATAGGTACAGCTGTAATCGTCTCTTCATTTTTAAAACTTAATTCCATACAAAGGCTTCCTGGTGGTTAAGACAGAACCATTGAGCAGTTTAGGATAGAAAGAAAATAAGCCACATTGTTCTGATTGTGTAGAGGCTAAAGATACTCAGATAATGGAAGTTTGTGGGCCAAATTCTCTCCTATGCAGTGGGTAAATTGACTGCGCTCCTTACATCAAGTTATGCCAAATTATGATGACTAGAATATATGAAACTGTTTATGCTTGTTTTGGGACCAAGATAGCCCAAACATTTTTTTTAAGTTTCTTATATTTTCCTGTTTATTTTTGAAGTACAGTAATTCTTAGTAAAAAATCTTTATCATAGCAATAATTAAGTAGGCAAATCTGACCAAACCTTGATTTTTTTAAAGAAGCAAAATTTAATATGTGTCTCAATTATTGTAATTTTTTAATTTATCATCAATGACTTAGTAAAACCAATTTTAATTCTTGCAACCTTGAATGCATTAAAAGACAAAAGTATTTCTTCTTCCTCTCCAGTCTTCTACTGGTGTGTATAGAATTATGTATATTTCTGGCCAGAGGTCTGGTTTTCTGATTTTAGTTTGAAGATAAATTTGGTGGAACTTTTGGGTCATTTGGCTGCCTGGCACGGCAGTGTAATCCTCATAGAAATGAAAGCTCAAGGAACATGCACAGTAAAGTGGTGTCTTAAGACATCTTAAAGGTAGATGATGGGATGCTTTTATGGAATTCAGTTAAGTAGACTCATTACTGAACTACATCTGTATGTCAGAGCAGAAGAATATCTCAGCTTTCCTGAAATAAAACATGAATTTCCAGAGTGACCACACTCCAGAGGAAGGAATTGTTAGCGAATGAAATAAAGGATTTATATAATATTAACTATTTTCCCAAGTAACTGGGCATTAGGCCAGTTACAGGCTTGGTACTTAGGAGGCTTCAACTAGGAGTAAAAATTTAACTTTAGAAAACTAAAGTTTCTTCGGTCTGGAAGAAAGACTTTTAAAACACAACTCTATCCCAATGATGTGCATGCTTTTTCAAATACGTGCATCTCAGAATTATCATCATATTTTTACTAGTTTAGTATATATAGCAAATAATATATAATGTTTATATATTATTTATATATTTATATATTATTTATATATTTATCATTTGTAACATAATAGTATATATATTAGCTTTGTGTTATATAGATTCCGAACTGCGCTGTCTACTGAACATAAAGAAACGTCCAAGGTCAGGCTATGGAGTAACTGTCAAGTAAGAATGTGGTAACAGAGAAATCGTCTGTGCTTCCTTCAAGAAGCAGCTCTCACTTGGAGACAAATAAAGCTTGCACTTTCAATAACATAACTTCAGCTAAGGCTCTGATCAGTCTCAGCATCCCAACTCACTTAGCTTTTGGATGGCCGAGACTAATTTCTATTATAATGTATTCCAGAGCCTATTTCCAAATACATCCCAGGGGATGATGCTGGATATAACAATCTTAGCTAGCTGCTAAGAAATTGAAGCAGGGAATAATTTGGACCCTTTCTCTGAATCTCTGAATTTGTTTCCCTCCTAAATCCTTTGCAGCCAGGGATAATCCTCCTGCCTGCCACTGAGGTAACATCTGGATTCTAACACCAAGTCTTGGCTACTTCAGGTTCTCATCCTTATTACCCTACCTGGAGGCCGGTGGACAATGATCTTGAGCAGTTCTCTCAAGCAGCAATATAAAGCTAACAGCTGTCTTGGTGTGTAATGTGGGATTTGCATTTCCTATACCTAAACCTCTTGTTGTTCAGTGAGGAGTTCAGACCCTCACAGTACACACAAATGCCCTAAACCAAACCAGCACTACTGGCAATTTTTCTCGCTTCTATTATCTTGGTTTAATAATCCTATACATATTAGTATATATTAAAATGTCTTCCCTGTTGGCTAGTTTCATTGGTGTTCCTGAGGGCAAAGGCTTAATGCCCCTCACGACTGTCAATTTTTGAGGATCTGGGTTTGGGTATTCTGATCTAGGGAGTCAAAGGCAAGGACCATGTTTCCCTGTACAACAGAAGAGGCTTGCATGGTTCTGGGTCCTGGCGCTATCACCTGCCAGCTGTGTGGCTTTGGCTAAGTTACCCAATCCCCGAGCTGTGGCTTCCTCATCTTTGAAAGGTAGATAACATTATGGTCCTCAGAGGGACCTCATAAATTACAAGTGGAATATGAGAAACTTTTAGTACAGTGCTCAGCATCAAGACACTTTATAAAGTACTCAGTGCTATTTATTATATATCATCTTTCAAGCTTGGGCAGCTTTTTGCAAGAATTAAGGAAGCCAGTTGCTATACTTTATACCAAATGTCTTGCTAGAGAAGTGAAAAAGTGTTGTGTGTAGGACAAAATGCTCTGGAAGTAGTATTTCACAAGGATACATGTTTCTTTCCATGTGGTTTGCCTTGTGTGTGGAGCATGTAAGTTCATTAAGTCAGAATTATATTCTCTGTGCACAACCCGTTTTTAATTTATTTTTTATTTATTACAGTTTATTCACTTTGTATCCCCGCTGTAGCCCCTCCCACATCCCCTCCCAATCCCACCCTCTCTCCCTCTTCTCCCATGCTCCTCCCCTCCCATGCTCCTCCCCAAGTCCACTGATAGGGGCGGTTCTCCTCCCCTTCCATCTTTTGCTGGCTATTTATTTTCTAGCTGATGTAATCTCAATTAAAACCCAAGATTGCAGGAATCACCCTGAATGCACATCCTGCCTTCAATTGTCTGATGTTATCTCTTGTTTTCTGCCTTTTCGCCCCAGGTTCTGACCCTGAATCCTAATTTTATGATTTGTTTTACGGTCCTTGCCCTATTACTTCTGGAAGAAGGACTTGGGCCCCCTTACCCTTGACAAGTGGCTTTCTGGACACAGACGGAAACAAATGAACAGTTTCTGTAGTCAGTGGTGGTTATAGGGCTTCAGGCTCGTGATTCGAATCAGGTACCCAGGTTTCTCAGCCTTTCTGACTGGCTGCTCACAATACGTCTCATAGTCTCTATCTGCTTATTGTGACAGGGTGTGTGGTTGTTTCACCAGTGAGGCGTGACTGAGAATTAGGTTACCAGAGCCTTACTCTGGAACAGACAGGAATCTAAAAGGCAAACCTACTTAACGCTGAAGTTGACCTAAGCAATCAGTAACAGCAGAGGGCTGACAGGAGACAGGGATGACAGTTCTTTATGACTTTCCATTCTGATCATTTTTTCAGAACGTACAGGGAGTTAACAGAAAGACAGGTAATAATGAACCTTGTTCTTTTTTTTAAAAAAAGTTTTATTTCAAAAAGCCATTAAAACATATGCAAGACACTATGAAATTCTAATGCCGTCGGTAAGAGCCAGCTCCCTCAGGTCACCAGGGTGGATTTTAAGACTGTTTCTGGCTATGTAGCCCAGGTTGGCACCGTGATCCTCCTGCCTCAGCCCAGTCCACTGTGGAATCCCGTCATTAGAGTCTGCTCCCCAGGCGGGCAGACAAGCCGGGCGAGAGCTTTCCCTAGATGACTAAAGTTGCCACAACCTGATAATAGTTACAGACTAATCAAAGGAAGCTTCGCTAACTCCGTATAAACAGGCATCACCATGACCCCAAAGGTAAACCTCTGGTTTTCCCCACACCAGGATGGCGCTGTGCCGCTAGCTGTGGCTAGGCCGGCTCCCCAGACCGTTACCTATCCCACGATGGTGATTCTTACTCTCTGCTTCTTGGCTGTGTGATCTCTGTGTATCTTCTCCCAGTCATCATCTTCTGCGTCCTGGTCAAAGGTCTCGGGGTAGGCGGGCAACTTGTCTTTGGGGCATTCCTCGTAGTAACTCCGCACGTACTTGCCCACAGACCAGCCTTTGTATTCTTCGGGCGTTTTGCACTCCAGCCCGCTGTAGTGCACATTGTAGTGATGCTTCAGCCAGTAGTAGAGGTAGTGGATGCTGTAGTCACACCTCCAGGGGTTCTCCCTGAGCCACAGCAGCTTCAGGAAATACAAGTCCTCCAGCACGCCATAGTCGAAGTTCTGCAGGCTGTTGTTGGATAAATCGAGCTCCTCCAGATGTGTGAGCCCTAAGAAGGCAGCTAGGAACAGAGGATGCTTGTTAACCAGTGAGCAAGGGAACTGTAACCGGGCAGGGTGGCCCACAAGGCCAAAGCACGGATTTCAGTGTGAGGCTCCGTTCTCCCTGTCACAGCACCCTCTTCAGGGCATGTGCGACTCCCCTAGACTGGACAGAGCCCACCCAGGGTGACAGCTGGCGCCCTGCACCTCAGTCCTGACGTGTGGAAAGAGAGCTAACTTTGCTAGGGCCTTGCTTCTAGTTGCAAACCACTCCCTGTGAAGAAACGTGGCAGTGTTCGCAAAAAGACACCAAACTAAACCAGATAGGCACCCCACTACCAGGTAAATTACATGATAGAAAAGGCATCCTGAGGCCGAGCTGTAGATTTATTGAGAACACGTGTGTATGACGGGGAGGACCTACCTGAGTCCTTACAAGGGAGCAGAGTGGCTTCCTGACTTGCCGTGTGTCAGTCCTTGCCTGTGATTTGTATCATACTGTGGCGTGACATTGATTCACTAAGGACAGCGCATTCTTCCTCACTCCCTCTATGGAGAGGATTTCCGGCTCGGGAGGTTTTGTCTCTTAGTGTGTCTCCCTACCGAACCTCTGAAGAAATGCAAAACTTGTGAAATATGCCTTTATTCAAACAAAGCTTTTCCTTGATTAGACAAGACGAGTGTGTGATATTTTGTTTGAAAAAGTCGGTTTTAAGTTAGTCTTTAAATATCATTTTTCTGGAGCTTGGGGAAGGCCTGCAGGGGGTGTTGATACACTTGATTTTTACCCAGTGCTCTGCATGTCCCAATAAAGACACATTTTTTCATTGGGAAGATGTTTCGTAGAGCGAGGGTTGCACATAAGCCAGGGAAATGTGCCAAATGGAAGACCTTAGGGCAGGAAAGCGTGAAAACCTGTGGCATCTTCATAGGTATTGGTGAATTCCAAAAATGCCCGAAAAAATAACCTTCCCCGGTTTTGTGTCACTGGTGGTGAGAGTCTATTTTTGTACAGTCCCCAAACCAAATAATTTCTACCGACATTTTTAAAAAAACATCTGGTTGAGGTTAGAAAGTGATGGTAGTTATCAGCGTTGAATTCATATGCATTTGATTTAGTTGGATGCTGAGTAATTAGAAAAAAATAACACTTGACAAAAATAAGACAATGTTCCAAGGACAAAGAAATCTACACATAAAGATTGACCACATATTTCAAATACTACTAATTATTTTCATGTTATCTTTTCTCGGACAAAACCCCAAACAGACTACCCTTCTATTTGGGGCCAAAGCAAGGGTTGACAAGTGGGGGTTCAGAGGCAGATCAACCCTTGTGATGAGAGTTCTGAAACCCTGGCAGTTTGTGGATCATCTGCTAAAATTCTAAAACTGGGCTGTCACAAATTTGCTTTTCTTAAAACAAGTCATGTTTTAAGAAAGCATGTGTAAATATATAGTCCTCTTAAGAACTACAGCTACTAAAGTATATTTAGGGCCCCTGGGAGAGCTGGTTTTGTTTCCTGAAGAAAGTGAAACCCCTGATACAGTGGCATCTTTCCCTTTCCCCACGGATGCCCTGTGTGCCAGGAGATGGTCACCCGTGCCTTTTCCAGTCTGGCATTTACCCACATTTACCCACTAAGGCAGCCTACGTTCTTAAGGAAGCCATTGGTTAGTGCTTCATCTCAGCGATTCTGAAACATAGTAGGTCTTTTACTTTAAAACCTGGTTTAGTTAATTTTGTCTTATTTAAGATCTAAGATCCATTTTCTTTTGTTCTAAAGGGCTTAACCAATAAAAGTCCTTGGCACTTGGTTCAATAGATACTTGCTAATGAAAATGTTTCTCGTGTGTTGTATTAAACAAAGGAAAGGCAGGAAAGTGGGAGGGAAGAAAGGGAACAGGGAGGGAGAGAGGGAGTGCTCTTTATACCCCGTAGTTCTGCTGCACCATTGTTACAGCATGGCTGTTCACTGCTGTAACACCTTTAACTGAGGCTGTACAATTATAATTGGCATTTTACATAGGAGAGGCGATTGTGCTCAAATGTTTCTAGCACCATGGTGCATTATCATATAATAATAAATATTATATTTATAAGTGATTGTTTTACACCTGTGCTTTTTAGATGGCAAGTTCCACTACAGAGGTACACGTGTGTGTTAACCTCGTCAGTACATCAGCAGCTTAGTTCTTTTAGGATCTAGTGTTTGCTTTAATTTTCTATAGTCACTTTTTTTTTTTTTTTTTTTTTTTAAACCAGAGGCTCAAAGGGCAGAGCCGAGCACCCGTCTTGATCCAGGAGCATAGCTAGCATGTCTCTCCCTGATTTGAGCACGCCTCATCTGAATGGAGGAGCCTGGCCTTTTGCAGTTAATTTATACTGAACAGTTGAGGCTGAATGAATGCCCCCCCCCCCCCGCCCCATGCTCAAATCTGAATTTCCATTTTAAGACCTTGACACGCTCAGTATATTAACGACCCCTTGCCACATATTCCTGTCTTTGTCTTATTACTTTTTCATGTGTGTGAATGATGCACTCACATGCTCACGTGGGCGTGTGCACGTGTGTACGCACGTGTCCGGAGGTAAAGGCCAACACCAGATGTCTCCCTCGGTCTCTATCTTACTTTTTGAAACAGTTTCTCACTGAACCTGAGACACAGTTATTTGGCTAATAAAGGTTGTTGGCAAATGAGCTCTGTCCTCCTCTCCTCAGCCCCGGGGTGGGTCCGTGTGTGCCGCTGCAGCCAGCTTTTCTGTGATGCTGGGGAGCTGGACTCGGGGGTCCTTGTGCTCACACAGCGGCCACTCTTCCAAAGCAGCCATCTCCTCGGCCACGTTTCTCCTTTTAAAACTCTGCAGTTCTCCTTCAATAGTGTACACCTGTGACACACACAGCCCTCTCGAAGCCAGGGCAGGAGAGTAAGAAGGTGAGGGCCAGCCTGGGCTAACTGTCAGAGGCCCATCCTTTCCCACCATGTGGACATTACTAGCTTGCAGATGCCCTCGTTATCTGGGCCGACTCAAGTACCTGCAGTCAGTGTCCTGCGTCTGTCGTGTTTTATACCCGCAGATTCAACTAGCCACAGGTTAGAAATAGCTGGAGAAATGGCATCTGTTGTGAATACGTAGTGGACTCCACTAGAATGCCTTTTCCTGTTATTCCTTACACAGTGGAGCAGAGCAACAGTTTAGATGGCCTTTTTGTTATGTTAAGTATTCTCAATAGTATATTCATTGAGATATAAAGAGGGAATGTATATCATCTTACAGAGGGACTTTGGTGCCTGAGAGGGTTCCTGGAACAGACACCCTGACTCACCAAGGGATGACTGGATAGGACTGCACCCTGGCACACACTTCTGAGTGTTAAACAAGTCCTCCTTTAACCATCGTGCTTAATTAAAATTCGTACTCTTCGAACTTAGTTGTTTTTTTAAATTATGCGGTCCTTATTTCATTTATTTTATGTATATGAGTGCTCTATCTGCAGGTACACCTCCACGCCAGAAGAGGGCATCAGTTCACATTCTAGATGGTTGTGAGCTACCATGCGGTTGCTCACAGAGGTCCTGGGAATCGAACTCAGGACCTCTGGAAGCACAGCCAGTGCTCTTAAGCCATCTGAGCCATCTCTCCGAGCTCCCCCTTCAGGCGGTGTTTACTGTAGGCGCTCACAGCACAGCTGCTGCCTGCCCGCCAGAAGGACCCTGCACTGCCACTTACCGGGGTCTATGAACTGAATGCCGTTGCTACTCAGGTTTAGCTTCTTTAGTTCATGAACATCTTCAAATTCCTTGGGTCGGAGCTGGCTGATTTTGTTGCAGGACAAGTCAAGCTTGACAGTGTCTGGAGGGATGTTACTTGGGACTTTCTTCAGCTCTGGAAAAATGAATAGTGTTTAGGTTACAGTTTTCTGGCTCCCTTTTTCCATTAGACCTGTGAGGCTGCAGAACAGCTTAGTATGGGGGGGGGTTGGGGGAGGATGGGGCGAGGACCATGGTTATGCCTAAAGGGAGGGGCCAGAGAAACTCCCCAGCCGCAGCACCTGGAGCTGAAGAGGTGGACCCTGCAGGTCACTTGGGAAGCAAAGGGACTCCATCTTGGCCGCGACACAAAGGGCCCGTCAGGAAACCTTTCCAAAGGCTGGGCCTGGTAGCGCATGTGAGGGGTGAGGGCAGGAAGATTGCTGCAAGCTTGAGGGCCATGTAGGAGGCACGGCAAGCTCCAGGGCAGCAGAGGGCTACGGAATATGACCAGGTGGAGAGAGAGGAGTGTGCAGGGGTTCATTACCAGTGAAGCTAACTGAACGAACGAGAGCCACCTGGGAAGAGGGGCCTTAGGGAGGAATTGCTCCCATCGGAGGGCTCTGTATGCACGTCGGAGGCCTGTTTTCCTGGCTAATGGCTGATGTGGAAGGGCCCAACACACTGGGTGGTGTCACTCCTGGGCCGGTGGGTCGGCGGGGTTGCTCGAAGAAGCAAACTGAGCAAGCCAATAAGCAGCATTCCTCCGTGGTCTGCGCTTCTGCTGCTACCCCAGGTTGGTTTCCCTTGATTATGGACTACCATCTGGAGGCGCAGGCTAAAATAAACTCTCTCCTTGCTTTTGGTGGGGGTGGGGGGGGTGGGGCGGCTATCGGCTAAGCTGCTGTCTCCCTCTTGTTCTTTCTCTCCTAAGGAGCTGTCACTGTCTCCACTGTCAGTTACCTTTCGGTTACAGAGTCACATTGTCCGTCATTTTAAAGCTTCCTCAGCCAACAAAGGATCCCAGGCTCCACTCTCATTAACACCACACACCTGACCTTCCTGAGCTCTCAAACCACGGCAACGGCCCTGCTGTCCTCAGGAGAAACACTCCAAGGCCCCCAGTGCAGGCCTGCAACCACAGACGGCACCAAGTGTTAAACACATGTGCCTGTGGCAACGTTTTCCTTGTGAAGTAGGTGCAGTGAGGGATATCACACAGGAAAATAGAACAACTGTAAGTTTGCTTTAATAAGCCACTAGATCCTTACAAGTGGTTTATTTCCAGAAATTTCTACTTAATATTTTAAGTTCCTGGATGATCATAGGTAAAGTGAAAACAAAACTGGGGTGGGGGAATAATTCAGATAAAGGAGGACACTGCATCTTATTTCTGCTCTCCTTAGGTGCTAAACTTCATGCTTGACTTGCTAACCCGACTTTCTTTTCACCCACTTCATTCCCACCTTCTTCTGATGGGGTTTACTCCGCCACTCCCCCACAGTAACCAGGCTCCTGGAAAGAGCTGAACTAGGAACAGCAGCATGACGAGAGGAGCCAGGGTTATTTCCTCAGAGGCGATCGGAAACCAAGGCTCACCTCATTCTAGCTTCTACTGTCTGCTTTCTATCTTTAAATCACGCTTTTCAAACGCTGTTAATCACACCTACATTATGTTTTACCATGAGACCTGCTCTTTAGTCTGTAGCAAGACCAAAGAGGTCTGGATTAGTTTCAGAGGGCAACTGTAGCCTGTGGAGGCAAGCAGACTTCTCAGAAGCAACAATAAGATGGCCAGACTGACTGACAGCTGCAGAAGAGGGTGGCCCACAGGCTTTCTGAGGAAGCAGACATTCTTAGACCCAGGAACTATAAAACACGTTTATGAAAGGAGGTGTTCGCTTACCCACACTGCCATTTTTTGGTACAGAATAGTTGAACTGTGAACGATTCCATTGAAGTATTAATTAAAAATAACAACTCTGGCATTTCTGATTTCTTAGCCCCAGGATCATAGTGACTTGGGCTTAGTTTTGCTTTTCTCTTAATGGCCCAGAGTGCACATCTTTTGTGTGCGTGTGTGAATGTGTGTGCATGTGTGTGTTTGTGCATGTGTGTATGTGTGCGTATGTATGTGTACATTCCTCTGGTTGGGGAAGAAAAGCCTTTGAAGGGTGGAATCAGTAAATCAAATCTTCCGGATGTACACCTGCATGCCTGGGAAGGCCAGAAGTCAACCTCAGCTGCTCTTCCTCAGGAGGTGTCCATAGCTTTTGTTTTGAGACAGGGTCTCTGACTAGGACCTGGGCTCCCTGACGAGTCTGGCTGCCTGGCCAGTGAGCCACTGGGGTCTGCTGTTTCTGCTTCCCTAGAACAGGGATTATAGGCATGTGCCAGCTTCTCCTGTGGCTGCTGAGGACTGAACTCGGGACCTCATGCTTTCATGGCAGGCACTTTCCTAACCGTGTCCCAATCCTGCTCGTTAATGGGCTGGTACTGGCAGTTCCTCCCTAGAATCATAGCACACCCCCTCAACTCTAACTTCCTCGCATTCCTTTCCCCTTCTTGTTTGGCTCTCACTATCTGTATGTTCCTGATCTAAGTACTCCTAAGAAAGTTAAATGAGGAGCGCGGTGTAAGTCCCAATATTACCCTCATTTTACAGATGTGAAAATCAGGGCACAAAGAAGTTAGATCATTTGCCCACAGTTACACGGTCACAACTTAAGTGGAATTTAAACAGGCTAGCCTAGTGCCTATTGCTGTGTTGTCTCTCTGTGTTAGCCTGTGTTCCATATGCTGTCCACCTGCCTTGAACCCCCACTTATCACACACATCTGTGGGTGAGAAAGAGATAATGAGGTGGAGACAGTAAACCAAAGCCGGTGTCCTCGTGACCAGAGCCAGCACCTCCTCAGTTCTAGAAAGCCTGTCGACCAAAACTTGCCTACTGAGCCTATATCTCCTGGGCCGGACTGGAGGCTAGATGAGAGCAGAACCACTGTAAAATGAGCGGAAAGTGGGTTAGCCATAAATCAACGGGTACAAGAGATGTTTATAAGGATACCTCAAATCCTAGCTTAGGCAATGGGCTTGTGGGTGTTAGAAAGAGAATATGCGTTGTGGAATCAGCTCTGGAGTTGTCAGCAAACTTCTGGATAAAAATAGCATCCACAAGTAGCAGGAAACTCAAACCAAGAGTTTTCCTAGCATGACCTAGAAACAAACAGGAAAATCTCATTGGTTGTAGTGATGAGGAAAAGCAGCTCTTTCTTTTGCCTTGAGCCTGAACAAGAATTACAAATTTGATGCAAACAGTGTGCCTCTGATGGAGACTGGACCAGTCCCCATGTGCTCAAGTCAAAGTGAGCCTTCATCAATGTCCTCATGTCTAGACCGGGTGCCATATGGCATTCATATTCACACTTACCACTAATCAAAAAACTTTTGCGATGGGGGGAGGGAGAAGGCTTGAGATAGGGTCTGGCTTTGAACTTGCTGTGTCGCCTGACCAAGGAAGGCCTTGGACCACTGATGCCCCTGCTTCCACCTCTGAGTGCTGGGTTTGCAATCGTGGGCCACGTTCTTGACAAACCCCTCAATAGATGCTCTGTCTACTGCCAGCTCTTACGAGCTCTGCTCCTTCTCCAACTGAACCCCCTATGAAGAGGAAATTGAGACATTTTCTCTACAGCATTTTCCCCACTTAGTAGGCTCTTGGTTGTCAGAGACCTCAGAACTAATTTGAGGACTTGGTAGCAGTTAAAGAGACATACATAAGGTTGTATATTAGAAATTAAAGAAATTAAAGTTTCTGAATTATTATTGAAGTCAGGGGCAATTTTGTGGCCCTAACTTCAAAAGCAGCTGGAGCCAATTTACCTATATAATTTTTCCCCCAGCCATCAAAGTAAAATTTGGTAAATTCTTCTGGTAAATGTGAAGCTAAAAGTAGCTTTAGAACTCATGGTTTCATGTGTTCTTGGCAAATCCAGTCACCTCAATATGGCATAAATGTGCCTTTCAACTAATCCCACACTTATTCCCTTTGAAAGGCTGAGTGTCGTTGGCAAAGTGCCAGTTGCTCCATGAATAAAACTATTCTTCTTTTCTTGCTGTCAGATGTTTAAGGCAAAAATAGTGATCTTTGAGGTCTATGTGGTTGAATTGGCACAAGTCAGTTCCCTGCACACACCATCTGAGTCATTGCTGGTCTCTTGGGAAAGGCTGAGTTCCCTCATCGGAAGAATCCATACTGCAGGTTCCCTGCTTGCATTGGCTCTGTGGTATTCTTGTACAGAGCTCAGGGAGAGGACTCAAAATCGCATGAAAGGCATGAGTAAAATCTGGTATAGTAGATATGGCCAGTCTTGAAGGAAGACAGAGCATTGCATGGTGGCCTGAGCCTTGAACAGTGAATTATTACTGTCCATGTGACCCCTAAGGACAGCTTCTTCACGGCCACCTTTGTCATTTGTGCCATGACAGTCATCCTGACAATTATGGCAGCACTACTTTAGGCCTGTAAGGAATGACCATAGGCAGGTAGACAGTGACTCCTGATCACTGATGTCACTGCTAGTTACCCCCTTGATGGCATGCTCTGCGTTTCTGGAGATTCCATATTTTGTGTAACATCTATAGTACAGTCATCAAAAGCATTGAGACCTAGAGATGAACATTACTGAGCATTTGCTATTTTAGTATTTGAGATTTGTTAGCCATTTATAGAACAAAATAAAGAAATTAGAATTAAGGTTGTCATTTGAATTCTAGCCATGATTTTCAGCTACTATGTGTTTCTGTTGTTAAAAATCACTTAAGTTACTGCTTTGAAGGAACAAAGAAAGGCAGCTTAAGTATTACCACCCAGTGCCCAATGCTGGACACTAAAAAAAAAAAAAAAATGTTTAATAATAGGTTTAATAGACTTTTCCTTATAGGAATGCGACTTGAAATAGGAATTTATAATAAGACAAAAAATAAAAAATGAATAGAATTGATAGATTTATATAAACTACAGTGAAAGGCATTCACACTAAATTATGAAAAGACCTAATTAACCTTCATTTTATAGTCTAGAGTTAGAGACTGTGCCTGGGGTTGGGGATGGAGAGAGAATAATCAGCAAATACAGGGATGAAAAATTGCTCTAATGTGCTAGATCATAATAGCATAAGCATGTTTGACAACAATTGTATGTCTCAAGTAGCCAGCAAAGAGAATAGTGAATGTTTTCAACACAAATGATACATGTCTATGGTGATGAGATCAGTTACTCTGATCTGGTCACTAAATATATTCATGAATATCACCGTAGTGATATTTTAATTGATATGCTACTGTGTTAGATAGTTACTGCTATTGAAATTGAAAATATAGGCTCTGAACATAGTCACTAGCAATTATAGGACAACTCGTCCTATAATGTATGACTCAGTGTTATATAAACTAAATTTATATCATGAAACTTTGTTCCCCCTGCAATTTTGCAGCAGAAAGGATTAATTTTGGAGGTATTTTTATATTATATTTAGGCAACAATAAGTTACAAAGAGAAAGCAGGAAAATATGGTTTATAGTCAGTGTTTGCCAAGAGAAAAAGAGAAATGCTTTATGGGAAAAAAAAGACAAAATAAGAACTGTGTTCATGGGTGTGGGTGGTAGACGGGGTGACCCAAGAGGAAGAAGCAAGTGAAAAAGGGAACATGTTGTCTTTATCTCTTCTCTCTTTCTCTGAGACGGGGTGTCTCTATCTAGCTGTCTGTCTTGGAACCTCCTATGTGGACCAGGATGGCCTCGAACCACCTGCCTCTCCCTCCAGAATGCTGGGATCAAAGTGTGCACTGCCACACCCAGCCCAACTCTCACCTCTTAGAGCACCGTGTAGCCTTGCCGTAGAAGTCCTACATTTTTTTTTTTTTTTAATGTGGATGGGATTTTTCTCGGCTCACTGGTGAGCTCAACCCTACTCGCTTGACTCTTTGACACCCTGTGCAGCAAATGCAGATTTGACTGAGCTTGAGGACAGAACCTCAGTAACAGGAAGTATTCTAGCTCAAGGTCCAATCTGTAATCTAAGCAATGTACTAGAAAGCTTAGAAAACATCCTTTGCAGCACAGGTCCTAAGTACGCATTGTAAAGCTATCAAGGACATTCCATCCAACCTTGCTGAGGCAAAAACCACACCTGCTGAGTCTTCTAGAATTCTCCAGTGCTTTCTTGTGTGGTATTAGCTTGTTTGCTAACGGGCACGTTAATTCTGGAAGATTGCAAGCGCCGGCTTGGGTTGATCAAGGCTCCCATCTCTGCTCTTTTGTTTAACCAGGAGGACCCGGTAGACTGATGGGACTTCCTGAATTTCGTCTTTCTCAATCTTTAGATGGGGGCACCACCGCCTGGAAATTGACAGCTTGAGCGCCTAGGAGGGTACCTGGCACCTGGTCGGTTTTCAACTAGTGAGCACGGCCTTGCCTGGCCAGTCCCGGTTACCATCACCGCTGTACCATGCTGTACCGTTTACTGTGAGCAAATCTCTCCATGCCAGCTACTGGCTCAGAGTGGTCTGACCACACACCACTTCAGAGTCAAGGGGAAGGTGGCATTGGCCGAAAGCGAAAGAGCTTGCTCTTGGATGCAGCTGTGTACTCTAACATTGACACTTTCCCGCTTTTAGCCCTCTGGAAAGGATCTGCTGGGATCCCGTCAGCCGGCTTTGATCTTTTGTCCCCTCCCCCCAACAAACAAGAACAAAAGACAAACAAAAAACTTCTAAGATGGGTGGAAACCCATTTCCACATGCTCCAACCGACTCCAATGCAGTGCCACCTGGCTGTAACTTATTACTACAAATAAATTATTATTAAAGCATGCTGAAAGTGAGACACGTCAGCATTGTTCCATGGCTTGTTGGCATGAAGACACGGGCAGCTCTTGGATGTCTCCTGGACAGTATCAGTCTTCGCTAGCACCTCATAAGCATTCCTGAAGCCTCCCATATGTGTTCTTAGTTCATGACCTTATCTGACGTGCAGATCTTGCCCAGCACTTTGCAAGACCGGTGGAGGATGCAGAGCCTATCCCTGACTCACAGACAGGAGGTGGCAGTCTAGAAAGACTTCCCGAGTCTTCGCTTAAATACTTTAAAATGACTCGGATTTTGTGCACTCTGGATAGCCTGGGAAGAAATAAGATGTCTGGTTCTATCAGTGACCGCGAAAACCTCAGGACGAGCCAGTCCACAGACTTCATCCGCACAGCGCTGGGTCTCCACGTCAGTGCTCACTCCCTGGCTGGGCTACACCTGTTTTGCTCTGGAGGGTGTCTCCGCACAGATGCTTGTGCTTTTCTTAGTTGGTGTGAGTCAGATTGTACAGAGGGCACCCGCACTAGTATCCAAGATCAATTAGATTCAGATTAAAGGAATTCCTCACGGCTATCGCTTTCCCTGAACAAATGAATCAGCTCCCATGGCTGCCCCTGCTCTTTTCTCTTTATGGAAATTTTTAATTCTTCACCATGTGCGTGTATGACCCACGTGGATTCCCCTGGAGTCACGGTTATGGGTGGTTGTGAGCCACTTGATGTGGGTGCTGGGAACTGGATGTCGGGTCCCCTGAAAAGCAGTCTGTGCTCTTCACCCATCTCTCTGGCACGGACCCCTGACTTTGGAACAGGGTGTGCTGAAGCCCCGGCTGGTCTCCAGCCTCCCAGGTAACTGAGGATGGCCTTGACCTTGTTTTCAATTGCTTATGCCTTGTTTTGTTTTCGTGTGTGACTATTTAAGGAGCGTGTGTGTTTTGAAGCGGTGCACATGTAGCCCAGGCGACATGTATGTGCTCAAGGAGGATCTTGACCTTCAGATCCCCTTATCTCCAGGTCTCCAACGCTGGGCTTACAGGGGTGTGCCAGCCTGCCCAGTTCATGTGGGCGTAGGGATTGAACCCAGGGCTTGGCACACGCTGGCCAGGCACTTTACCAACTTAGCTACAATATGTCCTCTTCTACAGCTCCCTAGTTACCAACTGGACCCCATAGATTCCACTGCTGTTGGAGAATGCTGCATGACAGACTTCTCCAGGCACCATGGGGTGTAGGGAGGGGCATAAAACCAGGGACCTTTCCTAACAGCCAGCGGAAACCAAAAAAGGGAGAAACTCACACACCTTTCCTCTTGCAGTCCAGCGTTTGTATGGGAAACACGTAATTGTGGCACAGAGTGGAGTCAGCTTCCGGCCTGATGACGGGAGGTCTCCCTGATACCTGGGGTCTGGGGTCCTGTTGCTCCACTTCCCCTTCATCACACAACTCGTCAGGCTTCAGCTGCAGCAATTTTTTGTTTCTCAGCGCCGGTGGGCTTGCACACTTGGCATAGTTGCCCAGATTCCGGTTCCGTGGGATCTGCAGCATCGACACGAGCGTTTCCAACTCACAGGTGCAGAGCCAGGGGTTGTCGTAGAGGCGCAGGTAGCTCAGGAGAGGCGTGTAAATGAACACCTCCTCCGTCAGCACCTTGAGCTGGTTGTGCTGCAGCAAGAGGGTGGTAAGCTTGTTCAAACCGAAGAACGCCTCGCTCTCGATTTTGGAGATCTCGTTCTGTTGCAGGTCCAGGCTCTTCAGCCTCTTGAACCTAGAAAACGCGTTGTCCTTCAACACGCGGATTTTGTTTCTGGCCAGCAGCATGTGCAGCAGATCGTGAGGCCAGTCGGGTAGCACGTAGACGAGTTTCCTTTCTTGGCAGTCGAGGTATTTCTCGTGGAGATACGTGTACACGTCACAGGGCAGGCCCGGGGCGTAGCGTTTGACCGGGCCGGAGCCCCTCCTGCCGCCGCCTGCCCGGCTGCGGCCGCGGCTGCGGCTGGGATTGGCTTGGCTTCTCAGAGCGCCCGGGCTGGCCTTGCCCGGCTCGGCAGCTCCGCAGAAGCAGAACAGCAGCAGGACGGCCACGATGCGCATTCTGGCGTGCAGCTGGCCCACGGCGGGCGGACCGAACGGGGGTGGGGGGTGGGGGGAAAGATTCCTTCGAAAGCCAAGTGTGGGTAGCCTTCCCCAACACAGGTCAGGAGGAGCCAGGCCCAGCTGGGGTGTACGGAGCCCTAGGTGGGACAGGAGGAAGGAAGCAAAACAAAGCCAACGGTTAAGGGCCACCTTGAGCAATGCATGACGGTAACAGCACATGTATTTCATGTTGACTGAGCCTTCTAGTTTAGACGGGCAGAACGTTCCCGCATCCTGTGGATTTAAGAATTTCAAGGTATTCTCCCGCCGGCCCTGAGATGCACAACTGTGCAGACGTGATCTTCCAGGACTTACGTTTTTCTTTCTTTCACTCTCTTCTAGTCACCACTGTCAGGTCCCAAAGAAACCCTGGGCAGATGACTAACAGAGATGCCCATTAACAGATCATGCTGGCCCCTGGCTGTCAGGCTGTCTCATCATGACAAGCACCTGCTACAGAGTCCTGGCTCCTGTCAGCACTTCTCATCACAGGCTCCTACCCGGGCTCCCGAGCTTCGCTGCCCTTCCTTCAGCTTCTTGTATAGGTATAAGCTAGGCCATTTTGACAACAAGCTCTCTTGGCTCTCTCTCTGGCCTCCTGGCTTCTCTCTAGGTCCTCAGTTCTCGATCTCACCTCAGCCACCATCCTCTCATGGCTTGGTCTATTCTGCAGGCCATGTCTCCAGCTGCACTCTCTCTTTCAATGAAGCCCTCCTCCTCAACCGTACGTAGCGGTGGCCATGTCCCTGTTTTCCATTCAACGGCTCATGCTGAATGTGGACCCGGAAATGCTCAGAACACGCATCGTTGTCCCAGCCACCCCTTCACAGGTCTGGCTTCAAACGTCACCATGAGAGTAAGGGCCTCTCTGTGACCACCATCCCAAGCCCTTCAGTCTGCCTTTCTTATCTCATACCACCCCACCCCCAGAGTGTTCATGAGCCTCTGTCTAAGCAAGCATTTTTCTTCATTTGTGTACTGTTCCGTCCGGTTTCCTTAACTAGAAATCAGATTCCCCAAGGATTTTTGTCTATCTTACTGCTCCTGTGTCTCCATGACAAATAGATGTATTTTAAATGTAACACTTACTCTCATGTTGCTGTCCTATCCTAAAGATTTATCACAATAAACTAATATTATTTTCAGACTCTGCTGGTGATTACTATGACATGCACTTTTGTTTTTTTTTTCCTTTTGAGACAGGATAACCATGTAGCCAAGGATGACCATGTAGCCAAGGATAACCTGCACGTCTGCCCCTTCTTCCACCACCCCCGGAGTGCTGAGGTGCAGGCATGTGCCATCCTGCTCACATGCCGGGAACCAAATGCTTCCAATGTACTGTGCTAGGCAAGCGCTTTCCCAGCTGAACTTCCCAGACCTGCATGCTTCCTGAACAGTTTTTCCTTTTGGTTTTTCTTTCTTTTTTTATTTTATTTTTTTTTAATTTATTACAGTTTATTCACATTGTATCCCAGCTGTGGCCCCCTCCCTCATCCCCTCCCAATCCCGCCCTCCCTTTTCTCCTCCCCTGCCCCTCCCCGAGTCCACTGATAGGGGAGGTGCTCTTCCCCTTCCATCTGACCCTAGCCTATCAGGTCTCATCAGGACTGGCTGCATTGTTTTTCTCTGTGGCCTGGTAAGGCTGTACCACCCTCAGGGGGAGGTGATCAAAGATCCAGCCACTGAGTTCATGTCAGAGACAGTCCCTGTTCCCATTACTATGGAACCCACTTGGACACTGAACTGCTATGGGCTACATCTGTGCAGGGGTTCTAGGTTATCTCCATGAATGGTACTTGGTTGGAGTATCAGTCTGTGCAAAGACCCCTGGGCCCATATTTTTTTATTCAGTTGGTCTCCTTGTGGAGCTCCTGTCCCTTCCGGGTCTTTTTATCTCCCCCTTCTTTCGTAAGATTCCCTGCACTCTGCCCAAAGTTTGGCTATGAGTCTCAGCATCTGCTTTGATACCCTGCTGGGTAGACTCTTTCAGAGGCCCTCTGTGGTAGGCTCTTGACTTGTTCCCTGTTTCCTCCCTCTTCTGATGTCTATACCGTTTGACTTTCTGAATGAGGATTGTGGTTTTTCCTTTTGTAAAGATATTCCAGAAATATTTCCTATCTGTATGTATCACTTAGGACTGAGGCCACTCCTGGCAAAGGAAGAAATATCCAAAGTAGATTTAAAAGGGACAAATGTGCCTGGTGTTAGTGTTGGTTGTATGGTGGCAGATGTGCTTCATTTAGATGGGATTCATCCTAGTTTGAGAGCCAGGGTCATCCTTCCTTGCAGCTTTCCTGTTTCATGGCCCCATCCAGCTAGAATGCCTTCCTACTGCTTCCCTCAAGCAGTCTTCACAGGCACCAGTGGTGTGGCCCTTCCTCAAGCCTAAGCATCTCTCTGTGTGCCTCTCTCTCCTCTTCCCTGAGCCATGTGATGGCCTGTATTCTGAGAGCTATTAAGGCATGTGGGCCTTTCTTAACCTCCACATTTCTGTAATTTATTGTAGTTTGTATGTAATCCCAGCCCTCCAGAGGCAAAAGCAGGTGGATTTCTGAGTTCAAGGCCAGCCTGGTCTACAGAGCGAGTTACAGGACAGCCAGGGCTATGCCGAGAAACCCTGTGTCAAAAACAAAACAAAACAAAAAGGTCATAACAGACAGTTTGTTTCACGTATTAGGCATGTTAACTATTGGAGGAGAACTGTGTTGGTATCTGCAATACGTTTAGAAATGCATCAAAAATAATGCAGAGTGTAGGAACAGTAGGCATATTATAAAACGAGGATAAAATACAGATTATAATCTAGATGACAGAGATATAGGTATTCATGCTATAATCCTCTCAATTCTTTATATGTGAAAAATAGATATAATAAAATATTTTAAAACTAAAACTAAAACATGGGTCTAGGGAGATGGCTTGGTCAGTGAGGCAGTGGACTGCTTATCACACAAACATAAGGAGCTGAGTATGGTGATATGTGTCTGTAATTCCAGTCTGGGGGAGGCAGAGAAGGGAAGAGCCTTGAGGCCCCTGGATACCTAGTCTTGTTGAATCAGTGATCTCCAAGTTCAGTGAGAGACTCAAAAAAATAATGTCAGAAGACACGGGCTATCAACCTTTGTCATTCACATGCATGGCTGTCTACATCTGTATTCATGTACATTAAGCACATATGCACAGGAATTAAAAAGCTATGTACCAAAAAAAAAAAAAAACCAAGTAAATAAAAAACCAAAACCAAACAAACAAAACAATTTTGTTCTCTTCTAGTACTTTCAAGCTAAAACCCCTATGGATATAGTATTTTTAAAGATCAAAATAGGTTTTTTTCTTTTAATTTCCATCTTTTTCCTGTCCTCTGCAAACAATAATAAACACGTGCATATGTGGATTTCTAAGCCAAAGAAATCATTTGCCTGAGCAGAAGAACCCACGTAACTTAGAATACATTTCTTGCCAAGGTTTCTATTTACTTTTTAATGAAAACGTTGCATTGAATGTAGAATGGAAAAGCCAAATGTTTGCAGTGTGCTGTTTAGTGATGTCTGCCTTGTTTGATTTAGGCCACTGTAAAAACTTACAAGAGTTGAACGTCTCTGACTGCTCGTCTCTCACAGTGAGTATGAGAGTTTATTCTCCTGTTGTTTATGTAGGTCCAGACAACTCACACTGGAGAGCCAGGGGGCAGAGCACAGGCATACTTTGTGTGCATTTGGGGTGGGATATGGAGGAAGCAAACTACATTAAACATTGGCAAAGACATTTACCCTCTCTGCACAATGCTATCATTAATCTTGTGGATCTATGCTCAGGGATGGAGCTTCTGGCAAATGGAAACTTTTTAATGGTTACATAAAAATGGGTCGTGTTTATGTTTCATGCATATGTATATGAGTCAAAAAATACTGGGTCCCAGCAAAGACTATGTTAGGCTTATTTTGGTGGGTTTCATGACTTTTAGTAAGCATGCCAAAGAAGATGGAAATGAATACATAGCCGCAGATTCCTCCTCCCTGGCCCTGGCTCTAGCCCCTGTCATTTTCTCGCTCCCAAACATGTCTTTGATATGTTTGGGATAAGACCTAGGGGAAGGTCTTATCAGCTCATCTTGCTCTATCTTCCATCATCCAGACACTACTAGAAAAAAAAAAAATCAAAACTACCTTAGCATTGGTGTACCCTGGAGACGCTGTAGTCTTCTGCCTCCCTTCATAACCTCATCTTGTTCCACTCTTGTGTCCACAATAAGTTCCAGTGGGGTGAAAGGTGTGCACCACCATGCCTGGCTTTGCTCTTTTCTTGCCTTTGTCCTCATCCTCAAACGGGGCTTTGTAGTTTGGTAAGGCTTAGCATCCTCTAAGCCATCATTGTCTCTCAGGGCTGCCTTTACAGCTGCTCCTCTGTATTCCTATCAGAAGTAGCTACTTACTGTAGTGCTTCTGCCTCCTCCATGAACTTAAGAGACAGTAAAGGCAGGGATTTGTCTTATTTTTTGTAACAGTCAGACTTTGATGCATAATGAACCTTTGATGGGCCTAGTGGCCTAGAGGTGCTAGTTTGTAATCTCAGCTACTCAGGAGTTGAGACAGTAAGTTTGCAAGTTCAAAGCCTGCCTGAGCTATGAGTACTTTAAGGTAACTTAAAGTAACTTATTGAGAGCTGTTTCAACATCAAAAGAGGGTGCCTGGTGGTGGTAGCACACACCTTTAGTCCCAGCACTTGGGAGGCAGAGGCAGGTGGATCTCTGAGTTCAAGACAAGCCTGGTTTACAGAGTGAGTTTCAGGATAGCCAGAGCTAAGCAGAGAAACCCTTTCTCAAAAAACAGACAAACAATAATAATAATAATAAAAATCAAAAGCAATGAAGGCTGGTGATGTCAGTCAGTGCCAGAGAAGACCTTGGTACTAGCCTTACCTTAATAAAAAGTGTTTCAACAATGTTTAATAGTTAATGCCACTATATGAGAATTCAGAGTGGGCAGTGAACAGCATAGAACTTGAGACTCCCAGCTTGTGTTGCTATGTATATGTGATATCACTAACTTTATAAGAATGAGTGAGGTTAGTCTAGTGAGAAAGGATGAGCCGAGGAGGGGACTCAGGGTTGTACCTCACTGACCGTAAGGAGCAGGTTGAAGATTTGAAGAAGGAAGCGAGTAGGTTCAAATAGTGAATGTAAGTATATGGAATGGGAAGACGTTAGGAAAGAAGTGACCCAGTGGCGGAGGTAGGGAAAGCGCAGAACACAGCAGGCCGGACTTGAGAATTAGGGCCACTAATTTCTGCTGAAGCCATTCCGGTGGTATGTGAGATATAGTTGTGGTGAGCTATGAAATGGACATGATGCAAGAAAGTAAGCATGAGCTATAAACGGATGTTTCCAGAAAAATGGCTGAGGGAGTAGGAGGAACAGGGGCTGGAAAATGTAGACAGGTTTATAGAAGTGGGTAGAGACTCAGTCTACCCAGCCAATGGGACAAGTCTCTGAGGAGAGAGAGAGAGAGAGAACAGAAGGAGAGCCTGGTGAGCCATGACGCTCAGCACACGCCCACACCAGCTAGAGGCCAAGGCTCTTGGCACAGGTGACAGGACACCTTACCTGGGTCCTCAGTGCTCCCTCCCAGAGTTTTACCCAGGCACGTGCCCCGTATCACAGTTATTCCTTCTCAGATGCATGCCCCATTTTAACATTAAAGCCCACATTTCTTTGTGTCCTTGAACCCATTTTTCTGTCTGCCTGAATGATGCTTAGCTCTCCCATCCCCTTAACCCCAGCTTGGCTATAATTGTTCTTCCTTTAAAATATCTTTCATCTCCACTGGGGTTTCCCATACATTTTTGAAGAACTGACTTTTAGAAAGTAGCACCGTTAGTAAAAACAAATTGATGTGACCGTGTTTGCTCAAAGTAAACACTTTAATCATTTGTGGAATGCACATAGAAGTCTGCCGCCATTGCCACAAGTAATTTTGGAACATTTTCTTCATCCTTAAGAGAAATCATATCCATTAAATCACCTCTCATTTTCTCCCAGCTTTTTAGCACCTTATAATTACATTTTTTTTTTTCTGACAGGATCAATTTGCTTCTCTTCCGAGTTGGCATTGTGATCTCAGTCCCTCAGTACTGATACTTTCTATTCATCTGTATTTACATTGCCGTTCCTTTTTTTAGAACAGGAATACCTTGACAATTCTCTTTCCGTGTTTTTTCCATGAAGCCTATCCTCCCATTTCAGAGCAGACAGAGCATTTGTTTCCCCCAAGGATGGAAGACATCTTTATGAGTAAATAAAACATAAACATGAAAGCACAAAGACCCTTAGGATACTTCAGCTCTTTTCTCCTGATACAAAGCCTTTAAATTGTCTAGTTCCCACCCAGCAGGCCACTGCTCTTGGCTCGGCCAGTCACTTTTCCTCTCACTAGTTCATGCCTTAGCACAAATAAGCTGCCACTTTATGGTCAAGAGTGTCCCCAAGAAATCGAGGGACAGGCAGACAGGCCCAAGAGCACACAAGAGAGAAATTCTGCTTTCTCTCCGGCTGGGGTCTTTCTCCAGCAAAATGCCTTCATCAAGACAGATGGCAATCTTTGCTATCATATTCTTCAGATATCTGATGAGGGTTAAAACAGGGTTGTTGTGAAGCGATTCATTCTTTCTATGGGTATTTTAGCACCCGCTGTGTTAAGGCTATCCCATTAGGTGTTAGAAGGAATTTTAATGTGAGTTAAGCTTCAGTTCTTGCCCCAGGGAGCGTTAGTTCTGCATACCAATACAAAATTGCATTCTTTGACTTTGGCCTTCTAACAGGAAAGTCATCCAGAAGGTTGTGAGCATCAAAGACTTGTCCAAGGTTGGGATCTATAAAGGGCTAGCAATTCCATCTAGCTCCATTTAAAGATGTGGGTAACATCCACTCAAAGAGCTTGGATCTCTCTAATCTTGCCACGTGAAATAAATCACACTGAAATATTTAAGTCCTATGGACACCTGCACGAGCCATTCCGTAGTGTGCACACGCAATCCGTTTTGCACTGTGTTCAAACATTTCAATACTGAGTCTCGCCTTCTCTTAAGTACTGAGAATGGGAGTGATGTGAACTTGTCTGAGTGACCAAGTGCCTCCAGAAAGGCAAAGGCAGAGAAAGAGGGGTTTGTGGACCCAGCTCAAGGGAGTCTCATTCCCCCACTGCATACAGAGCACAGCCATGCCCCCCCTTGGCCCCATCTCTCCTGAGCCCCCTCTGAAGGGGGCTCAGCCACCTCTCTCAGCTCTCCTGGTCAGGTGATTAAGCCGGCCCTCACACCGGCCTGGTCCCACCTCGCTCGAACCCTTGCCAAAATCTTTTCACAAGCGCCTGATCTCTGTGAGTCCTGACTGGCACACTTGACATTTTCAAAGACAAGTTTTGCACCTACCAAAACTTGGTCTTTGATTTTTGAAGGAAACTTGGGCTATATTTGCCATATCTGTCTGCACATACCTGAGTCTTGCACTTGATGACTGGGTGACTATGGAAATTGCCCACAGCTTGAGTGCAATGCTAAGAGCAGAGAGTTTTCAATGGCCCCACCTCTCTCCGTGGGGCACCAGCAGGAAGAGACTTTCCTGTGGGGAGCCCCTGAGTCTTGGTTAAGATAGGATTTGCTCCCCAGAAGAAGACTCTTTGGGTGACCAACTACCCATCACCATACCCCAGGACTTTGTTATGGCAAGTACCCACGCATCCTGGAAATGGTGAGGAATGTGAAGTCGGACGGACCTTGATGGCCCCCCAAAATCAATTTTGCCATCCCTAGAGGTATCTCAGCTGTTCTGAATTCTCCCAGTGACATCTCCAGGCATGTGGTGATTCACCCACTTCAGTCAGGTACCTGTGGTGGGCTATCCCTTTCAGGATAGAGTGTCCTGAAATGTGCTGGAAGCTCAGTGATTTAACTCTCTCTGATACCTGGCGGTCAGTTCCCTGGAGATTTATCAATCATCGCTGGATAGATGAAAACACATTGTTAACTGTTTCTCCTCCTCTTTTTTTTTCCTCTTTCTTTTCTTTTGTTTTGACAGCGTTTCACTCTGTAGCCCAAGCTGTACTGAAATTCACTGTAGCCCAGGTTGGCGTTTAACTCAGCCTTCCCAGTGCTGGGATTTTAGGCATGCACCATTACGCTTGATTTTCTACACTTTCTGCCGAGTAGCTCATTGCAGTCAAAGCTTGACACTCATCTGGTCTTTTTCAATTTTAGCTCAAGACTTGACAGCATTGCCTCTCAAGTTCATGACAGCCATAGCCTTCACTCACTTTAGCTTCAGCCTCCTCTCTCCCCAACCCCAAACCCAACACTGGATCTTTGCCCTCTATACACCTTGTCTGTTGTCTACGCTTTACTTTTCAAATATAGCTATTGAGACCATCTCATACAGAGAAACCCTGGAGAGAGAGAGAGAGAGAGAGAGAGAGAGAGAGAGAGAGAGAGACCATCTCAGAGTTATCATAAATTCCATGAAAATTGGTTCAGGTTTTTAAATGTATCATTATCAGAACCACAGAAATTTAAGTCACACAGACAGACGGACATACCTAAGCTAAATCTGGCCATGATTTTAACAAAGTCCGGTTGTTGAGAACATTTACTATTCCAATCTTTAGACAAATTTTTAAACGGGCCAGTTTGTGACCACATTTCTATATCTGGACGGTCAAATGTCATGCTGTGACATTTGACATGTCACCTACTAGAACTTGCAAGGGTTCGCCTTTTAGTGAAATGTCATTATGGTATAATGAATTTTATTTCTAAAGAAAGAGGAAAGGAGGGAGCAATGAAGCTTCCAACAAAAACGACTATTTTCTACTTTTTATGTGAAGTAGTGTCAAATGTATATGAAGGGCCAAGTTGCATATGAATGTTTTTCTGGGACAGGAAGGGAGATGAGAGACAGTGGCGCAATTGAGAGTCCTGTGAGAGTTTGATATGATTTCCTTTCTTCTTTTGTTACGCAGGACGACGCGATGAGACACATTTCTGAGGGCTGTCCTGGCGTCCTGTATCTCAATCTATCCAACACAACTATCACCAATAGGACTATGCGGCTCCTGCCCAGGTAATGCTTGTGGCTGTTTATTCGATTGAAACAGGGTCTCATACATCCTCCAGGCTGGCCTTGAACTCATGCTCGTCTGTCCTTTGGCTGGGGCTGCTTTCACTCTTTGTACCACATTGAAAATATTATGCTACTCTAGGCTTTTGGCTTGTTGTAGTTGACCTCAAAGACAATTCCCCATCATTAGTTCCCAACCAGAGCAGCATGATAAGGGGACAACTGCTTTCCGGTCCCTGAGCTGGTTGGTGTCTGCGCTCTCCTTCCCTGACAGGTATGGCTGGTCACCGGTCTTCTGTCACGGCCAGTATTTTTGTCACCCTTGCAGCAGTGTACCCAAGTCCCTTGAGATGACCTTTCCCATCTGTTTCTGTTCCCCTTCCTGGGCATTTGAGCCTGACCCTCACCCCGACTTTCTTTCTGGTGTCTAGGACCTTTCCCTAACAGAACTCCAACATGGTCCCTCCCTGGCCTGTGCACACGGCTATCCGGGTTCCAGGTGTCCCTGTGTCCCATTGAGATGACACTGCTGAGCTCTGACTGTCGCCTTCGGTGTCCCCAGAATGTGGCAGCTGCTACTCCTTAGCCAACCCGTTCTCTGGAGAACGGAGAGAAAAAGCACAAAATCTGGCAGAATCTTCAACTTTACGCAGCTTTGTCTGATTCAGTTATTCTCTATTTTTACTGTGGAAAGACTAGCCCAGGCACTGTATCTGATCCCAGGGAGATTTGACTTTGGGAAAATATGTCTCAAACCCGTGTGAAAGACTGCACTTTTTTGAAACTATAACTTTTTGAGGTCCCTTGAAAACTAACAATAAGACATTTGGAAAAGCTTAAAAACAGAAAAAATTCTGGGTGGCAGTTTCTTTATGGCTGACTCTAATAATCTTCCACAAATGGGCAAACTTCAGAAAAGTGGCATGGCACTTCCTGTTTAATCAGTTCTGCAAAACTTTCCTTTTAAAACTCCTCTAGACATTTTAAAACATGGAGGATCTTCACCTAGCCAGGCAATTAGAAATTTGCTTTTACTTCCTGTATTTTTTAAAACTCGGGCATATAATCCATTTAGAATTTATTTTAGTGATGAAAGAAGCGGCGATTCAAAGTGGAGGTCAGCAAACTGTGACCCACGTGGTCCAGCGTTTATTTTTGTGTGGTCCATCAGCTGCAGTTTTACATTCTCCATCCGTGATAGCTGATAATCCAACATTATTTATTGACTGTAGTTCTGTGTGGTTCTTCCTTGTATATTTAAAAAGTTTAGACAGGCAATAAGTATTTAAAATGCATCTATTCCTACTACCTCTGGTGTTTTCATGGCCCTGGTATCCTGCCCTGCTCCTCCTTCAAGCAACCTGTCCCCATTAGCTTGGAAGCGGCTGGTAGGGAGTGTTCCACACCGTGAGAATTGGCTAATGTGACAAAACAAACTTGAATTATTGTTTTGACCATTGTTTAAACTCCAACTGATGGAAAGGGCAATTTATAAAGCAGACTAAATTTAAAAGTTTGTCATGCCTGTAGCCAGTGCATTATAAATAGCACAGAAATTGAGGCAATATTTTTTTTTCTTTCAATCCCTTAAAAATGGTCTGATTTGGCAATGAAAGCACTTGTGTTATTGACAGGTGAATACAGTCTGGCCACGTGTCTCAGTTTGCCCAATTCTTTCTATAATGGAAATGGGTGTAATATTTGAAAGCAGAGAGTATAACGTAATTCATGGAACTACACTTGGGCCTCACCTGCAGTGATCAGTTGGTGGGCTACCTCTGTAAGAATTTGGCAAAAGTCAATGAAAGTATTGTGTGAGAACCAGTTGACTACAAAGAATTGACTATAATGAATATTGTATAGTTTATTAGTATTTGTAAGTCATGTTACCTAACCTTCATATCTGTAAGACAGTAAGATATAAAAATTTATAGTAAACGTATTTATGTACAGTTTTGGAAAGCTAGTTACATATTTATCAATATATTAATAATTAAGGATAAAATAATGATTTATATGTCAGCATCCTGTTAGGAACAGAGTACTTTTACATCTTTCAAAGTTTATAGATCTCTTAATAAATTTTTATCTTGGTCAGAAAAATGTTTTGAGTTATTCGTAGATGTGTTTTCAGTTGTCATCATTAGTAGCAACCTTTTAACTTTATTTACTAAATGGCCCTTTTTGGGTTGGAATATGAGATGCAAGTATCTTTTTAAACTTTTCTCTTAAAAAACGACACAAACAGAGCCAAGTAATTATTTCTAATTAAGAATTTGGGAAAAGCACATCAGACTTGTTAAATTCTATTTCCATTTTCCAAACAAGTAGTCTATATTTTATTTTCTTTTTGACCCAAAACTTAGAGAGGAATTCTTTGTTTAAAGTGGTTGGTGCTTCGATGATTAAACTTCTGTCTTTAATTATAGAAGAAATATGGACTGAATTATTTCTGCTTTTCGGAATTCAGATTTCTTCAAGGACTGGTTTGTAATTGGTTTCAGCATACTCATGGATGTTTAAAGTGAAGAGAATGTGTTTAAGAGAACAAACTTTTGTGTAAATGTCCGTTTGTACACAAGATCTTCTTAACACGGTGTAATATAATCGTGATGTGCTGGTCACTGTAATCAAGATTATAGTTTATTTTTATCTTACACATATAGTATCATGCTTTATCATAGATTACACCATTTCCCCCACATATTATGGTATTCTTTTTTTTCTGGTTAAGGTTTCTTAGTGATTTGTGATGTTTTCTGAGACAGGCTCTCACTCGCTGGCCTAGGCTGCCCTCAAACTTACAATCCTCTCACCTCAGCCTTCTTAATGCTGTGATTACAGGCACATAGCATCATACTGACCTTGAATGTTTAAAAATCTCCTGCTAGGCAAATGGTGGGAACTAGAAAAGATCATCCTGAGTGAGGTATCCCAGAAGCAGAAAGACACACATGATGTATACTCACTTATAGGTGGATGTTAGACACATAATATAGGATAAACATACTAAAATCTGTACACCTAAAGAAACTAAGCAAGGAGGACCCTAGGTAAGATGCTCAATCTTCATTTAGAAAGGCAAATGGGATAGACATCAGAAGAAGTTGAAAAGAGGGAACAAGACAGGAGCCTACCACAGAGGGCCTCTGAAAGACTCTACCCAGCAGGGTATCAAGGCAGATGCTGTTGAAGAAGTTGGTAACAGGAACTGGGGTATTGCTTTGGTAGGCCTGACCATGCTTTTGTTTAGAGAAATGTGGATTTTGGGACTTTGTATCAGAAAAGCAGTTGAATCTTTTAAGTGGGGCTTTATGTAGGAGGATGGAAGACAGTGGTACTGAGGGTGATTTGAATTGTGGGGGTCTGGCTCAAGAGATTTCAGAGAAGAAGAATTTTAGTATGTGGCCTAGAGGATTGTTCTTTTGAAATTTTTTTACCCTTTTCTGAAAAGTCTGCCTGAGGCTAAGCTGAAGAGTTTTGGATTAGTTGACTTGGCAGAGGAAATTTCAAAACAGCCTCATGTTGACGCTGTTGTGTAATTATTAGTGTTCACTTTTAGGCAGCTCTATAATGAAAAGGAACAGCTGAGCAAGGGAAGTTACAGAATGTACAATTTTCGGAGAACAGGGCACCAGGAAGTGGAATGGAGCCAATTCCTGTGTTCAAGGAGATAAACAGATTAAAGAAAGGCTGATATTAAATGGAATAAAGGGAGCGGTGACCTCAGGGCACAACCCCACCCAGTTTAAGCTTCCAACTTGTGTAATGAAATTAAAGGACAGTTTAGCCATACAGGTTTAATCCCAGCATTCAGGAAAACCAGATGGATCTCTGAGTTCAAGGCCAGCCTGGTCTTCAGAGTTTCAGGACAGCCTCGCTTTGGCAGTGAAAGAAAACATCAAAAACAGAAAGCTGGTGATGATGTAATTGAACGAGGGAGCCATGCTCCAGCCCAGCAAGCAGCAGAACTTGGCAGCTACAGCCACAAGGTTGTGGCTTTAGAGTCAAGGACACAAGAAAGGGTTATGGAATCTCAACCAAGGAACACCTCTGAGGCCAGGCACGTGGCAGGGATGTCCCTGAGTGGAGGCGTAAAGAGGCCATTGTGTGAAGCTGTGAGGGTGAAGCCTGGATTGCCTTGGAGACCCCAAGATGTAGAGATGCCAGAGCCTTGGAATACCTGCCAAGGAGAGCTGCTAACATGGAATGGAGACAGACAGAGAGACACAGAGAGAGAGAGAGACAGCAAAGCTGAAAGCAGTTGGAGATCTGAAGAGCACTTTGACATCAGACATGGAGATGCAGAGTTTGGAGTTTGCCCAACTGGTTTTTAGTCTTGCTTTGGTCCAGTATTTCTCAACTATGCTCCCTTTCCTACCTTTTGAAATAGTAATGTATATCCTGTGTCATGATATATTGGAAGTATGTGATCTGCTTTTTTATTTTGATTTTATAGGGAATAACAATTAAGAGATTGCCATGAGTCTAAGAAGAGATTTTGGATTTTGGACTTTCACAGGGTTGAGACTGTTATGGATTATGGGACTGTTGAAGTTGGACTAAATGCATTTTGTATTGTGATATAGCTATAAGCCTGTGGGGGTCAGGGAGGGGAATGTGGTAGTTTGAATAAAAATGGCCCCCATAGGCCCATAGGGAGTGGCAATATTAGGAGGTGTGGCATTGTTGGAGAAAGTGTCACTGTGGGGGGTGGGCTTTGAGGTCTCCTTGCTCAAGCTAAGCCCAGTGTGACACACAGTCTCCTTCTGCTGCCTGTGGATCAAGATGTAGAATTCTCAGCTCCTTATCTAGCACCATGTCTGCCTGCATGTTGCTATGCTTCCCACCATGATAATGGACTAAACCTCTGTGTCTCTCCGCAACCATAAAACCCCAACTATGACACCCTGGCTGTCTTACAACTCACATTTTTTAAAATAATTTATATAATTTTACTTTATGTTCATTAGTATGCAGGTGTCAGAGCCCTTGAGATTGGC